CGCTGCCCGCTCCGGCCGTGCACCTCCGGAAGGGTCGGTCCCGGCAGCGCGGGGTGCGGAGCGGGGTCTTGAGGCGAAGCCCCTCCTCCGCCCGTGTGCATGTTCAGGACAGTTGAGCGGAAGCGCTTTCTGGAAAGTCACCGTGGCGCGGCCGCGTCACCCCGTGCGGATTACAAGCTCTGCTCTCAGTTTCTGTAATGTCAGACGCTCCCGGGCCGGCCGGGCGCCGCGGCTCACACCACCATCCTGGCTCGCCAGCGGCGGAGCCCGCACGGGAGCGTCCGCGAGACTCATCTCCAATCAAGAACTGGCCCTGGCTCTGCTTAGAGCGCTAGTCTAGAGCAAAAGAAGCTCGGACAGTGCCCAGGCCCTGAGTTCAAGCCCCAGGACCAGCAAAAAAGAAATGCTCCTGTCCCTGGTGACATGAAATGGTGGTCTGATGCTGGGCAAGAATGGCTTGGTAATACTGTTCTTCCTTAGCAATTACTTTTTCTTCGTTTCAGGAGTTATTGTGCAATTCTCATTTTAACAAGTTCTCATTACGTTACACTGCCCTCCAGCCTTTGCTGAGGAAGCGTGGAAGGCTGCCGTTCCCAGAGTCAATTAAGGGTAAGAAAAGCAACTGTGGGATGAGTCACAGTGATCTGCACCTATAGCCAACAGGGCTCTTCAAGTTTGGCACCTCTTCATGTGGGGATTAATTTCAGCTATCCCAGAAGTGGGATAAACTGTCTCTAAATTAAGTATCTCAATAAGGAATCCAAATGCTTTAGAAAGTTTTTTTTTCCTGTGTGTTAACATTTTAAAACTTCAACCAGTTCAGACATAAAGCATTATTTTAGAGTGCCTCATATCCCCTCCTCCTCAGACTCCAATTAGGCTTGGATGAGATCGTAAAAGTGCCGTCCTTAGAGAAAGAGCTGTCATTTAATTCTGTTCACTCCCACCATGTGAGCCCATAGTAGAATGACCGTCTGCAAGCTAGGAATGAGCAGCCATCTTCATCTTGTTCTTCTCCATTTCTACAACTTCATGAAAATAAATTTTGGTTATTGAAGTCCCTCATTACTTGACTGTGACAGTCCAAGCAGATAAATACAAGAATGAAGTGGGATGATGAGGAGTTGAACAACCATTACTTTTTTACTACTTGGAGGACAAAAAAAATCATCTCTTAAAACATGTACATAATTGTAGGACTGTTCATTCATTGAGTAATTAGGACTGTATTAAATGCTGGCCACTAACTTGCTCTTTTTACTTATCTGCATTGGATGTCTTCCATATCCATAGAACAATCTACCTCATTCTTTTTCAAGGCTTCAGAGTGCATTATAATTTAGTGAGTCCCCAGTTGGTGGGCATTTAGGTTGTTCCTACATTTTTGTTGTTGTTTTCGGTCGTGGTGCCTGAACTCTGGGCCTTGGTACTATCCCTCATCTCTTCAGCTCAAGGCTAGTGCTCTACCACTAGAGCCACTGCTCCAGTTCCAGCTTTTTCTGCTTCTGTGGTGCTGAGGAATCGAATACAGGCCCTCATGCATGCGAGGCAAGCACTCTACCACTGAGCCACCTTCCCAGCCCCTAATGTTGGTATTTTAAGAAAAATGTGTGGGCACCGGAGGCTCATGCCTGTCATCCTAGCTACTCAGAAGGCTGAGATCTGAGGATTACGGTTCAAAGCCAGCCCGGGCAGGAAAGTCTGTGAAACTTTATCTCCAATAAATCACCATAAAACCGGAAGTGGCGCTGTGGCTCAAGTGGTAGAGCGCTCACCTTGAATTGAAGAGCTGAGGGACAGCGCCCAGGCCCAGAGTTCAAGCCCCACGGCCGACCAAAAAAAAAAAGTGCACACCTGTAAAACTAGCTAGTCAAGTGGCTGGAATTGGGAGGATTAAGGTTTGAGGCCAGCGTGGAGAGAAAAGTCCAAATGACTGCATCTTAGTGGAAGGAGGTGGGTGTACTGCCTCACGGCAGGACCTCGCTCTAGGCCACCAGGGGGCACCGCGGCTCCGTGTCCAGGCCTGCGGTGGGCGGGGCCTGGGAACAGAGCCTTGCCGGGCGGGGCCGCGGCCTGCGGTGGGCGGGGCCTGAGAACAGAGCCTTGCCGGGCGGGGCCGCGGCCT